CCCAAAACCCCTCAACTCTCAATAGTGTGAAATTTACAAATATAGATAAAATATATAAATATATACTTAAGATATTTCAAGGTCCATTTTTATTATCTTCAGCCTTTAGCTTGGCCTTGGCGTGAGCAGGCACCTATGATCCATAGAACTTGAACCTCTCATTTTTGTACTTATCGTCATTCTAAGTCTTAGTATCTACCTCCTTTTTAAAAGCGAAAGGATTCTTGGGCTTAGCATCTTCAATGCAGATATCATCATCCTCCTCATAGCTATCAGAATCTGAGTTGATTCCATCTGTTTGTCTCCTCTTCTTCTTGCACTTCAAGTTCTTTCTCAGAACAACGAGGGTGACTATTAAGATGAAAGCAGCAAGGATGATTATAACTATTATCAAAGCTAAATAACTTTGTTCTGATGAAGCCAATGATTCTATCATTATTGTAAATTCTTAAGAAGCACTCCCTCCTCTTCGGTCATCAGCGACAATGTAGATATTGAAAGTTGTGGCGTTTTCATTAGGCAAACCTGAGAGAGTTCTAGTGAAGTCTTCATACTAAAGCCAGTTTTAGATGTACTCTCCATTCGGCTGAGACAAAATAAAATACAGTTTATCTCCGTCTGCATCAACAAAAGCCTCATTAGGTATTTTATAATAGAATAGCTACTTTCTATAGGCTGTTTAGTCTGGAATTTTAGTTGAGACAAAAGGAGAAGTGTTTGGCCTAATTCCAGCTACAACATAAAAGCTCATGATTGCCACACCGTTCCAATCATCAGATGCTGTTACATTTATCTAATAAAGACCATAAGCAGTAGGAGTACCAGTGAATTTTCTGATTGATTTGTCAAACTTCAACCAAGAGGGCAATGGAGTAGTATTATAGGTTAAAGTATCTCCATTAGGATCAATAAAAGTGTCAGCAGCTAATTAAAGAGAGAAGGGCACGTTGAGATCAATCTGCTAGTCATCTACTTGCTTCTAGACTACAGGATAGTAATTCTTTTGTACATCAATCTAGAAAGAAGTAGTCGCAGATTGGTTTTTTGTATCATTGCCTACCACTGTGATTGTAAAAGTACCCACATCCTATTGAGTTGGAGTGCCTTAGAAAGTCCTTGTTATGTTAGTGAATGTAATCCAAGTTGGGAAGTTGTAGAAGATATAAGAAATCTTTAGTGCATTAGGGTGCAAGAAGGTATCCTCTGGAATAGTATAAAAGAATGACTATTCAGTTCTAATTTTCCAATTCTTCAAAGCGTTATTCAAGTATGGCTTGCTCACAAAGTTAACCTTGAAGTTTGAACTGCAAGTTAGACCATCTTTATCTGTGGCAGTCAAAGTAAGTTCTGTATAGGCTGTTTTAGCTTGAGGGACTAGCCCTTGAAGAGTTTGAACAGTGCCATCCCAAATCATCCAAGAATCAACAGCAGATCCACCTGACTTTGTTAAAGTATAGGTAAGGGCTGCTGTCTAGTCATCGCAAAATGTTGGTGTCTGATAAGTCATGTACGTATTTTCTATAACAGTAGTATCATTTACTCCTTCCTCGTTAACAATGGGTCCAAACTTTTAGCAGAATGATTGCTTTTTAGCACCGAGAGTTTGAATGATTCCAACATTAGTGATTGAGCCTGATGTAGGGGATGTGATATCTCTCAAAGTAACTGAACTAGTGATTGACCTAAACCTGGAATTTGAATCCTTGAATAGTAAGTCAAGAGTTACGTTCTTAATATTTAAGGCAGTGCATTGATTTCTACCTTTTAAATCTGTGACAAAAACCATCCAATCTTAGCCTCCTTAATTTCCAAATGACACTGTGTTGCTATTGATGAAGGCATTAACTTCTTTTCCTACGGTATTGTAAATTATGTCTCCTGGGTTATCAGCAATAGTACCTCCCATGTATTCCACAAAGGTGGTTTTGCCATCTTTGGTTAAGTAGGCAAGCAGGACATCGTTGTTTCCATTGGTGTACCCATTTGCATTTATCTAACCCATTAGTAGCACACTGCCGTCATTTAAAACTGACAGTCCCTTGCTGTATTCACTGAAAGAAGGTGTACCTATGTATTTAACAAAGACAGTTGAAGTTGGGTTTGTCTTTGAAACAGATAAAATGAAAATGTCCAAAAATCCATTTGTTAAAGAAGAGGATTGAGAGTAGCCAGTTATATAAAGTTAGTTAACCCACATTTTCATATCAGAGGCATAGTCTGGGTTAGTACCTCCGAAGTTGTAGAAGTACTCAAGAGTTCCATCTGCTTTTTATTTCATTAAGAATATATCTAGAGTACCAAATGTCAATTCAACTGAGTATCCTTGTGCTAGAGTGTATGCAGTATCATCTGAATCAACTATGATGGTTACTCCTGAATCTTCTTGGGTCCCTCCAATGTACTTTACCCAGCTAAAAGCTCCAGTTGATGCATCTAGTTTCATACTAATGATATCAGTCTTACTTGTAGTCCACCCAGTACTATCTGACTCCCCAGTCAAGTAGACGTATCCGTTCTAGTGAAACACACTATTTGCTTTGTCATTATTGTCATAGCCGATTCTCCTCGCCCAAGATATAAGCCCAGTCGAGATAACAAACTTAATGACAAACATGTCTATCTTTCCAATACTAAGAGTAAGGACCGAATTACTAAAGCCGCTCACATAAAAGAACTTATCTCCTTCATCCATAGCAATGGCTGTGGCAGTTTCTGTGTAAGATGATCCCCAGTACCTGCCCCACTTAATCTCACCAGTTGAGTCAAACTAAAACACAGTGATGTCCTACTCTCCACTTGTATAGGCAGGGGAGTAAGAATTGCCAACTGCGTAGACATTTCCAGCAGTATCTTAAGTTACATCCACAAAGACATCATCACTCGTGCCACCGTACAAATAAGCCTTCTATGTCAAAACACATGTGTTTGTAGAATTCTTGAAAGCCTTAACAGTAATTGTGAGATCTCTCATATCAGGTTATGCGCATTAATCCTTAGATATTTCTTAATTGACTGACTAGAATGTCTGTCCAATAATAGCCAAGAAGCAGTAAATTATCAGCAACTTCGGTTTTATTGAAAAGCTTCTACCAAATGTATTGGTAATAACTCTCATTTTCAAATTTATTATAGAATTGTTATAATTTTATTCTCATCTAATAATCCTCTAAAAATAAAAACAATAACTACTATGGGGTTTTGGGGTTTTGGGGAGATCGGAAGAGCACACGTCTG